GTGATCCACTCACTTCGGCCTCCCAAAGTGCTGGGATTATTGGCGTGAGCCACCGTGCCCTGTCATTCCCACTTTTTTTTTTTTTTTTTTTTTTTTTTTGAGACGGAGTTTTGCTCTTGTTACCCAGGCTGGAGTGCAATGGCGCGATCTCGGCTCACCGCAACCTCCGCCTCCTGGGTTCAGGCAATTCTCCTGCCTCAGCCTCCTGAGTAGCTGGGATTACAGACATGCACCACCATGCCCAGCTAATTTTTTTTTGTATTTTTAGTAGAGACGGGGTTTCACCATGTTGACCAGGATGGTCTCGATCTCTTGACCTCGTGATCCACCCGCCCTGGCCTCCCAAAGTGCTGGGATTACAGGCTTGAGCCACCGTGCCCGGCCCTCATTCCCACTTTTTGAACACAAAGATATATATCAGTTAGTGTATGCCAGTCCCACCATTGTTTGTTGGGTTTGGGGGGGAGGGAAATAACATATCTCTTTATTTCACAGGTTTTCAGATGGAAAGGAACTGTATTTGAGGGGTTATATCCAAGGATCTATACCCAAGAGACTTCATACACACCTAAACCTGATTAAGGTGGTGAGATTTTTAGACTTCCAGTGGATACTGTAATGGGGCAAGATGGGGGTCGGTAAGAGGGAGGATGCTTTTTTTTTTTTTTTTTTTTTTTTTTTTGAGACGGAGTTTCGCTCTTGTTACCCAGGCTGGAGTGCAATGGTGTGATCTCAGCTCACCGTAACCTCCGCCTCCTGGGTTCAGGCAATTCTCCTGCCTCAGCCTCCTGAGTAACTGGGATTACAGACACGCGCCACCATGCCCAGCTAATTTTTTGTATTTTTAGTAGAGACGGGGTTTCACCATGTTGACCAGGATGGTCTCGATCTCTTGACCTCGTGATCCACCCGCCTCGGCCTCCCAAAGTGCTGGGATTACAGGCTTGAGCCACCACGCCCGGCCTTGGGAGGATGCATTTTTAATATGAAAGGGGAGTCAGAGGGCAGTCTGTGGTAGCCAGCCTCCAAGATCCCCCACAATGATCCCTGCTTCCTTGTGTAGTGTTTTCCCATGTGGAATAGGGCTGATCTGTGGAACCAATCATATATGACAGAAATGAAGGTGTGTAGTTTTTGAGGCTAAGCCAGAAAGAAAAAATTTTATATATATATATATATATATATATTTTAAGACAGTTTCACTCTTGTGGCCCAGGCTGGAGTGCAGTGGCATGATCTTGGCTCACTGCAACCTTCGCCATTCCCTAGATTCAAGTGATTCTCCTACCTCAGCCTCCTAAGTAACTGGGATTATAGGCACTCACCATCATGCCTGGCTAATTTTGTATTTTTGGTAGGGGCATGGTTTCTCCATGGTTGATCAGGCTGGTCTCAAACTCCCAACCTCAGAGGATCCACCCACCTCAGCCTCCCAAAGTGCTGAGATTACAGGCATGAGCCACTACACCTGGCCAAAAATAATTTTTAAAAAAGACATTGTAGCTTCTTTCTTGCTCTCTTGCATCACTCACTCTGAAGGACCCAGCTATCATGACATTCAAGCATCCCAAGGGGAAGTCTCTCTGCAAAGGAACATTAACCTTTCACCAAAGCATCACTCACCTGCTGGGTACATGAGAGCACCTCCTCCAGGGGATTCTCTAGCTTATTAAGCTAACTTTTTTTGGTAAGGAGCCAGACGGTAAATATTTCAGACTTTGAGAGCCATACAGTCCCTCTCACCACAACTCAACTCTGCCATTGTAGCATGAAAATAGCCACACACAGTACATAATCTAGTAGATGTGGTATGCTCCCATACATTATTACAAAAACAGGCAGCAGGCTAGATTTAGCCCGTGGGTTGTAGGTTGCTCACCCCTGTTCTAAAACTAAACATCATCTCTCTTTCCAGTCCCCATTGCACCTGTTGGAAGACAGTGTCATCAAAGTAAGTTTCAGCTTTTCTCAGTCATTTCAGATTTAAATGCATTCCTTCGGACTCTTCCACCTCCTTCTCCTCTACTTGGAATGGTTTCTCAGATCTGAGGGGACTTCCCCAGTGTCATGGCACTGGGAGAAGCAGGAGCCTATGAACCAGTGCCCCTGTAGCCGGCTATCTTCCTTGCCAGCTTCTACTGAGATATCTGTGTCTCACCGGCCTCTAGCTGTCAATCCAGGTACCCTGATCCACCACCCCATAAGGACAATCCAGCCTGTCTCAGTTTGGCAATTTTGGGGCACAGAAATCTCAAGGCTTTCCCATGCCACTCACGCATCTAAGACTGTACAGACCAGCCCTCCTAGACACAGCACAAACCCCACACACTGCTGTAGTCACCCTGTTTCTAGGGCTTTCCTCTAAAGCTGTAGCCTGAGAACTGAAGCCCAGGTCGCATTTACCCTGGATCCCCAAATCTACATGAGGGATCTGTCTTTTCCCAACCTTACCCTCCCACTCCAGCATGGCCTCAAGCGCAGAACCCAGCATCTTAGCTCTCCCTTCTCCCCAAATCTCCCAGCACAGAAGGAGTTTGTCACGGTTGTTTTTTGTTTGTTGTTTTTTTCTTCTTAATTTTTTTTAGAGATAGGATCTCACTCTGTTGCCGAGGGTGGAGTGCAGTGGTATGTTCATAGCTCACTGCAGTCTCAATCTCCTGGGCTCAAGAGATTCTCCTGCCCGAACTTCTTGACTAGCTGGGACTATAGGCAGGCACCACCATGCCCAGCTAATTTTTTAATTTTGTAGAGACACGGTCTTGCTATGTTGCCCAGGCTGGTCTCAAACTCCTAGCCTCAAGCGATCCTCCTGCCTTAGGCTCCCAAAGCATTGGGGTGAGCCACTGCACCCAGCCCTGTTTTGTTTTTTCAACATATGTTCTCAACTAGATACGCAACTACCTTTCCAAACTATTCCAAGCCCCTCACCTTCAGGCATTTGAACCCAAGAATTAAATAAAGCTTATATCTTATTCCTTTATTTGTCCCTTTCTTTGATGCAACAGGGACAAGATCTAAATTGAAGAGAGAAAAGGGAGGGCTGACAAAGGAATTTCAAAACAATACTGCAAAACCTTATTTCACCACATTTAGGTATCATTATTATGATTCCCATTTTACATATAAGGAAACTGAGGCCTAGAGAGATTAAGAAGCTGGAGTTCTTGGGGCAGAGTGCTGGGTTTAGAGCCAGAAGCCAATGCTGGAACTTCAGCATCTGTGTCTGCTGCTGGTGTCCTAACTCTCCCTTCCTCTCCCTTACTTGGGCAATCCTGGGATTGGGCACACCCAGGCTCCCTGAGGCCCCTGAAGGTCTGGCTGTGCCCACCATGCAGCTCCAATCCCAGTACTCTGCCCCAGGAGAAATCCCTGCCTCCTTCTCCAGTGAGTCTTGGTGATCCCCCTCAGACCTTCCTCCATACAGTCCAGTGGCAGGTGGAAGCATCAGCTCTGCATCTGCCTGGCTTGTGACCTGGGGCAAGTTTCTTCTCCTGCCTCAGCCTGAACTTCCTTGTGTGTAAACGGGGGATTATAACAGGGATTCAGTGTGTGTTCACTGAGGACCTGCTCTGGCAGGCAATGCATTGAAAGCTGGGGGTACACAAGGGAGTGAGGCTGTCCAAGGGTCGCTGTGCACACCGGCACAACAGGGGCCTCTGGAGGCATCAGGGAGGACAGCTATCCTGTGTCACAGGGTTTGTGTGACCTGTAGCCAGCAGCCCAGCAGTCTGCTTGGTGGGGGTCTCCCAGGGAGATTCTCTGTGACTAGTGTCTTATCCCCTAAAGAATGTGCCATCTGGTGCTTTCTTGTTTCATCTAGCCACTGGGCCCCAGAACAGTTGGCAAAGCAGTTGGTATCTTTGGCTATTTTTAGGTGGGGGAGCTAGTGGGGTGGATGTGGTGGCCCCAGGGGAGTCTGATAGAGGGAGCTTCAGGTGCAACAAGTTTGTGGGGGTGGGGTAGCAGCAGCTTTCTCTCAGGAATGTTTAGGCAAACTCCCATGCATCCTTCGTGATGCAAGGCCAAAGCCACCTCCTCTGTGCAGCCTTCTTTGATTTTCTCATAAAACACTACCACTGCCACCCACAAGACGAAAGACTTGATCTGGAACTATAGCCCAGCCTTTAATTACAGTTCCAGACCAAGAGTACTGAGCAACGGGGACCTTACCTGATGAAGATAAGCTTTCTTTTCTGCACCTCTGAGGCTCCATCCTGCCATCCCTAGTCAGAACGACAAGGTACAGAAGTTAGGAGTTGTGACTGAAGTCACTCATACAGCGGAGATTCCCTTTTGGCCCATTTCTAGTAAACTACAACAAGCAAGTCACTTTTGTAAATCTATTTTCTCATCTGTAAAATGGGCAACCATCATGCTTGCCTCCCAGGATTAAAGTAAAGGGTTTAATTTGCTCAAAGCACAGCGCACAGCGCCTGACATACAAGAGATCTCTCGCGAGCCCCAGGCTTAGAAGGGGCTGTGCTCCCCTAAAGGTCTCCTTCCTTTGCAGCAAGTCGGGTGGTGTATGCGTGCTGGCAGAGGGGAGGTGGCTGAGGGGAGGGGAATGGGGGATGCCCAAGCTGGGCTGGAAGACAAGTCTGCGACTCTAGTCAACTGCGGCTGCCTTCCCCGCTGACGCACACCCCCTTTGCCTTTGCCATTTTCCTCCTCTCCTCTAATTGCGTGGCGCCCACAGATGGGAGGCCAGGTGTCGGAGCTGAGGGTGGGGAGTCCTCGGGCCTAAGCCTGGGGAAGGGGCCTCCAGCGCCATGTGAGGGCCCCGATCTACGGTGGGGAGGGGGCGCCCGGGTCTCTGGGAGAATCCCGGAGTCCCCGGAAATGGAGGCGGAGTCTGGGGAGCCTGAAATGGGGGACGGGTCGCGTAGACTAAGGGAGAGTCCTGAGCCGGCGAGGAGGGGCAAGGGAGTCCCCCAGTCGGAGTGGAGGGCGGGGCTTCCCTGGACAGAGGGCGGTGCCAGGGGAGGGGCGTGGTCTCCCGTGAAGGGGCGGAGCTCCGCCGACAAGGGCTAAGCTTCGCCGCAAGAGGCGGAGTCTGGAGCGAGGCGGGGCTTTTCCTAGGGGCGGGGACAGTGGGGCGTGGCCTCAGGCCAGGGGGCGGAGCGTGGCGGTTGGCGCTCATCCCCCTCCCCCGGCCCCGGGTGTCCCCGTGACGAGGCAGCTCGGAGCCGCCGCGGGCCGGGCCCATCCCGCCGCAGCGGCCCGGGGCCGAGCAGGGGCTAGACGGGGAGGGAGTGGCGCCCAGCGGGGCCCGGAGCGTGGCCAGGTGAGGCCGCCGGGGCGGAGGGGGCGGGGGCTGCGCCGGGCGGGCCCCGGCGGGCGCGGGGGGCGTGTTTGCGTGTCTGGGGGTGGCGGAGGGAGTGGGTCCGAAGGCGGGCGCTGGTGGCTGCTGCGCGCCCGCGCGTCCCTGCGGTCGCGGTTGCGGGTGGTCTCTGCGCCGTCCGGGCCCGGGGTGTACGGGGCCGTGAGCGCGCGCGTGTTGTGCGGAGGGGCCTCCGGGTGTGGACCTGCGTAGGCGCTGGGCCGCGGTTCTCGTTCTGCCCGCCCTGGGCGCAGGGCTCCGGGCGCGGGCCTGCCCCGGCGCAGTCCCTCCGGCGCGGAGATGTTTTCCAAACAGGCTGCCTGCGGGAGACGTCTCTGCTGCAGCCCGAGCTCGAGGGGGGAGCGCCGCCCCCACAGGCCTCCTGAAACCTGGGTGGTCGGGACGCAGACAGACACCTGAGGGAGGGAGGGAGGAGAGGGCGAGCACCCAGGAGGAGACCATAGGCCTGCCCGCAAGGGGAGGCCGAGATGGGGAGACTGAGGCAAATGGATGGTGTGGCGGAGGCGGGCAGACAGGCAGAGACGGGGAATGGGGGAGAGAGATGGTGAAAAGGACAGCAGCTGGGAGGACAGAGAGTCATTGAGAAAACAGACAGACAGACAGAGGCCTAGACCTTGAAGGGGCAGAAAGATTCATATGGACAGGTAGATTCAAGGAACCTGTTAGAGGGGCTAAACCAGAGGTCCAGAGGCTAAGAGCTATACCTAGGAACTGGGTCTGCGATGAGGGGTAAGGGCCCCCAACTCATGGGGTACCCCTCTTTGAAGCACATCCCAGTTTGGGATCTTGGACAAAAAGTAGCCTCTGGCTACCCCAAGTTGGTCCATCCCTCTGGCACCACTGAATATCCTGACCCTCTGACTGTGCCACCCATCCCTGGTATCCCAGCAACCTCAGGCAGTTTAGAGGAGGCAGAGGGAAAGTGGTTGCCATAGCAGTAGAGGCGGTGAAAGGTCACCCTTGCCTTAGCCTAGGCGGCCCTGCAGCAGGCTGGAGCTGGGATTGAGCGGGGCTGGGGTGGGAACCTGCAAAGCTCTTTTCTCTCCCACTCTGCCCAGAATGGTGCTGGAAGGAAACCCTGAAGTGGGGTCCCCCCGAACCTCAGACCTCCAGCACCGGGGGAACAAGGGCTCTTGCGTTCTCTCCTCTCCCGGTGAAGATGCACAGCCAGGCGAGGAGCCCATCAAGTATGGTGAACTCATTGTCTTGGGGTGAGCATCCCTGGCCTAGGAGGGGTGAGGCACCAGACACCCTCCCACACCCAGCACAGCCAGAACAAGGGCCCTGACCCCTCCTTCCCCCACATAGGGCTTTCTGCTGTTTGTCCCTCCTCACCTTCCCAGCTGAAAGGCAAAATAGACCCAACCCACCTCAATTCATAATTATTATTTTATCTTCCCATTTTTCACAAATTACTGTGACAACTCTAACTGCCCAAGTTCCTGATCAGATGAGAAAAATGTGACACCAGCTGCCTTTCCTAAAGCACCTAGTATGTGTGGTGTGGGATGAAGAATTCTTGGTTGAGTTCAAATCCTGCCTCTGCAAGTTGCTGAACTTCCCTGTGCCTCCGTTTCCCCTGTTTTGCAAATGGGGATGATAATAATCCCTTCCTCAGAGGGTTGTCAGAAGGAATGAATGTGGTGATTTCTGTAAAGTACATAGAACAGCGCCCAGCACATATCGAGTGTTCTGGGAGGCAGGCCTGTGCCAAGCCCTTTCATGGACATTATTTCATTTCAATCTTCACAAAGATGCTGTGAGGAAGGAGGTGAGGAAACCGAGGCTCAGAGAGGGGAAGTGACTGGCCCAAGGGCACACAGCTGGTAAGTGGCAGGGCTGGGATTTGGACCCAGATCTTTCTTACTCTAGGTCTAGTGCACTTTCACTAAGCCGCAGCTGACCCGCACACTGCAGATGGGAAAGCGAAGGCCAGGAGAGAGGAAGCCACGTGAACTGGCGGCCGGGCCAACCTCATCCCTTCCTGGTCTCTGTCTGACCAGGATCCCTGCACCATCCACTCAGCTCTTTCCCCAGCTCTTACCCTCTTCCCTCTTCCTCCTCTCCCAACCAGGTCTCCTTTTGGCCTCTCTCTGCCATCAGTCCTAAAGAAACTATTTGATAAGCTATATCATTATGATTTTTAACAAAAGGCTGCTGTTTGTTGACATGTGCTTTTAAAAAAAAAAAAAACAGTGATAGTGAACACTTATCAAGGCCTTGCTATAAATATGCCAAACTCCGTGCCAAGCACTTTTAAATGCTTTGTCTCATTTCGTTCTCAAAATGAACCTCCAAGGTAGGTCCTGAAAAATTAGCTCCATTTTACAGAGGTCATGTGATAAGTGGAAGAGCCAGATTTAAGCCAGGCCCAAGCCTGTGTCCTGACCTGTCCCACCTCAAGGCCTGCCCCTGTCCATGTGTGGGAAGAGCTCACAGGGGCAAAAGTGATGTCTCCCTTGGGAGAGCTTGCCTTGGAAAAGCAGCTGCTTCGTATCCCACAGGCAGGACTGGCTTTCCAGCCCAAGGCAAGGCCACTAATGTGGGAAGCTGCAGACTCACGGGTGTGGGCCCACCTGGCAGCCCCCTGCAGAGCAGAGTCCACACTGGCTGCACATCAGAGATGGCTGGAGAATGCTGAAAATATACATTGACAGGCCCTCTCCAAGCCTGCAGAATCACTGTCACAGTGGGTAGGCCCAGGGAATCTGGATTTTTTTTTTTTTTTTTTTTTGAGACAGAGTCTTGCTTTGTTGCTCAGGCTGGAGTACAGTGTCATGATCTCAGCTCACTGCATCCTCCGCCTCCCTGGTTCAAGTGATTCTCCTGCCTCAGCCTCCTGAGTAGCTGGGATTACAGCTGGGATTACCCACCACTCCTGGCTAATGTTTGTATTTTTGGTAGAGATGGGATTTTACCATGTTGGCCAGGCTGGTCTCAAACTCCTGACTCCTGACCCCAGGTGATCTGCCCGCCTTCGTCCCCCAGAGTGTTGGGATTACAGATACGGGTCACGGTACCCGACCTCATCTGGATTTTAACAAATTCCCTGGAAGATCCTGATTCAAGCGGCCTTGTCTGTATTTGGCAGCTATTTGTCCTGTCACTTCCTTTTCCCAAACCTTCCTGGCTCCCCACTGCTTACAGAATAACGTCCTCAGCCTGGAGTTCAGAGCCTTCCCATCAGCATCATCTCCCTACCACACTTTACCACCAAAGTCACCATTCCCCGATCTCATCAGACCCTGACAGCCTTGGGGCCTTTGCTTAGGGTGAGCCTCCATCTAGAGTTGCTTCTGCAAGTCTGGAGTGGGACAGACCAGGCTCGAATCTGGACATTTTCACCTACTAGCCTGAGGCAAGTCACTTTACCTCCCTGAGCCTTGATTTCTCTCATGTGTAAGATGATCAGAGAGCCACTTGCCTGGCAGGCCACTGCACAGATTCCATTAGGTGATTGATGCCATGAAGGCCAGGAACACAGGGGCAGTAGCCCATGGCAGCAATGAGAGCTATGACTCACCCGCTCTGTGCCTCTCACATCCATCCCCTCCAGACAAGAGCTAGAAAGGCAGGTGGAAATTTGACATATATAGACATGGAGGTGGTGGCATTGTGGGCCATTTTTTCCTTTCATTTTGGTTCCTAGTAGAGGTGTGACAAGTGACAGTTTGCTACAGGTGAACCCTTTCTAGTTCTTCAAGACCCAAGAGGTGTTTCCTCTCACAGAAACCTGATCCTAGAGCCAGAATTCCCTTTTCTTCTAGGCTATGGCATCCTTGGCTTGTGTCTGGTTGTGGCAGGTGGCACTTAGGTTCCTGAAGAAGCTGAGGAACCTCTCCACTGAGGGCCCACAACTGACCCTGTGGTGCTCTACTGCCCCCATGCACAGCACCGAACCAGGCATGGCTCAAGTGTCTAGGAAATACTTGGTTAGCTGAATGAAAGTGCTTTTGAAACTGTTCTGACACCCCCCGCCCACTCCCTAGTGCACCAATTTGTTATTGTAGGTCTTCCGGTTTCAGGGGCTTCTAGAGCTTGTTTATTAATGTAGGATCTCCCCAGAAGTTGGCAGTTTCCTCCAAGTCTCATCAGGGGTTCACCTTCCCTCTGTCTCGTGTCTCACCTTCCCTCTGTCTCGTGTCTCCTCTTGCAACCCTTTCTTCTTCACCCCCCACATGTATAGCTACAATGGATGTCTAGCAAGTGGGGACAAGGGCCGCCGGCGAAGCCGCCTGGCACTGAGCCGCCGGCCGCATGCCAACGGAGTGAAGCCAGATGTCATGCATCACATCTCCACGCCGCTCGTCTCCAAGGCAAGCAACTGACCCATAGACCTGAGCGCCAGTCCTGCCCAAGGCCCAGGTCTTTGGCCTTCCCAGTCCTACCTGTCCACAGCCCCCCACTGCAACAGGGGAGCCCACTTTGTGTCATCACTCTCTGCTTATTGGGCTAGCCGAGAATGGTGATGAGACATCCTTTGCAGTGTGCACAGTTCTTTACAATTTGCAAAATGCTTCCTTGACCCCTGGACCTCTCTGAACCTTGGCTACCTCTAAGACGGTGCTGCTTCTTTCCATCCAATGGAAATGGAAATGGATGGAAATGAGCTGTACCATTTTAGAGGCAGCTAAAGTTCAGAAAGTGGGAGGCGACAGTCACACTGCAATGGTAAAGGAAAAACCTTTGGCTTTAGAGGATTTGGGTTAGAATTCAACCTCTGATATTTCCAGCTGTGTGCCTTTAGGCCAGTTTCTTTCTGACCTGCAGTTCCTTCAACGGTAAAATGGGAATGATAACCCCATTCTTTTTTGTTTTCGAGGCAGAGTCGCGCTCTGTCACCCAGGCTGGAATCCAGTGGTGTGATCTCGGCTCACTGCAACCTTCACTTCCTGGGTTCAACCCACTTCAGCCTCCTGAGTAGCTGGGACTACAGGCGGGCACCACCACACCTGGCTAATTTTTATATTTTAGTAGAGACAGGGTTTCGCTATGTTGGCCAGGCTGGCCTCGAACTCCTGACCTCAAGTGACCCGCCCGCCTGGGCCTCCCAAAGTGATGGGATTACAGGTATGAGCCACCACGCCCAGACTGGTAACCCCATTTGTGTTCCATCCTCTGGCACCACTGAATATCCCGACCCTCTGACTGTGCCACTGCTCCCTGGTATCCCAGCAACCTCAGGTAGTTTGGAGGAGGCAATTACTTAAAAATTCTTAGGGTGACTGTAGGGTTTAAATCATGTGAAACACCTGCTGCACTGTTCACCCTCTGCAAAGGATGGAGCTGCCCCCTTCCCAGGGAGTGGCTGCTGGGCCTTGAGCTCCAGCTGCCGGCTCGAGGCATACCCTTATCATGGCTGCACACCCTGGCAAGTGACTTTTTTCTCCCCTCAGGCACTGAGTAACCGTGGCCAGCACAGCATCTCGTACACATTGTCCCGGAGCCATTCAGTCATAGTGGAGTATACACATGATAGTGACACAGACATGTTCCAGGTATGCTCAGGCCTCTCCACACACCTCCTGGCCACCAGGCCTCTAGGCTCTGCAGACATTTCAGGTGAGGCTACAGGATGGGAGGCCATGGGAAAGTTGCTTCTCTTCAGACGAGGAAGCAGGATGTCCCAGTGTGGGCTGCTGACTGCAGAGTCATACAGCAAGTCAGCGGCTGTATCAAGGCTCAGACTCAAGACTCCCAGACTGGGAGGTCACATAGCTCAGGAGTTCAGGTGTGAGAGGCTAATGTGTGGGTTCAGATTTTGGCTCCATCACTTAAGTTCATTTTTCTTTTTTTTGAGATGGAGTCTTGCTCTCATCACACAGCAGTGGACTCTTGGCTCACTGCAACCTCTGCTTCCTGGGTTGAAGTGATTCTCCTTCCTCAGCCTCCTGAGTAGCTGGGATTACAGGCATGTGCCACCCCGCCTGGCTAATTTTTGTATTTTTAGTGGAGACGGGGTTTCACCATGTTGGCCTTGAACTCCTGACCTCAGGTGATCCACCCGCCTTGGCCTCCCAAAGTGTTAGAATTACAGGCGTGAGCCACCTCACCCAGCCAGCGTCACTTAAGTTCTCTGGGCCTTGGTTTACTCGTCTGTAAAATGACACCCTTAATAGTACCTGCCCCACAGGAAGATTAACTTGGGCATTGCACATAAAATGCTTAGCACAGTGGCTGGCCTATGGCAAATAGTTACTCGGAATTCACTATCTGCTGCTAACATTTGAGCAGCAGATATTATTATTATATTATTATTAATTGTTATCTTGTCAGCAAATCAACTGGTATTTATTGAGTGGGTTGATCCCCAGCGCTGGGGGCAACAGAGAAGGAGAAGCTCCAGGCCATGGCTTCTTGGACTTGGAGACCCCATCTGGGAACCTAGAGGACCTAAGGAGTTGGTACTGCCCCTTCCTCAAGGTCTAGCAGCCTCCTTGTTTGGTGGCCTTGCATACAGAGCAGCTGCTGGTACTCTGGGTGGGGAAGCCCATGAGAGTCCCCTGTGCACAGGCAGTCCCTGCTTGCCCTCCCTGTCCTCACAGATTGGCCGCTCCACGGAGAACATGATTGACTTCGTGGTTACAGACACATCCCCTGGAGGAGGGGCTGCCGAGGGCCCTTCTGCCCAGAGCACCATCTCCCGCTATGCCTGCCGAATCCTCTGTGACCGCCGGCCGCCCTATACTGCCCGCATCTATGCCGCTGGCTTCGACGCCTCCAGCAACATCTTCCTTGGAGTGAGTGAGCCCCCAGGAAGGGACCAACTCTATCTGTGAGGCAAGGGGTAGGCTGGGGAGGTGTAGCACCTTGGGGTGAACCAGCCCACAGTAATTCAAAGGATGGTCTCCGCAGGGCTTAGCAACCCCAGCTAATTGATGAGCAAAGTGAAGCCCAGAGAGATGCTCAAGTCATGCAGCTTCAGTGCCAGGCCTCTCTGGGCCACCTCCAAACTTGAGAGTAGAGGGGCAGTGCCTCTGGCACATGGCCTGCTGGTGGGCCACTGGGGGATATGATCTGATCCCTTATGTGGTCCCAGGAGCGGGCGGCCAAATGGCGGACCCCGGATGGCCTGATGGATGGACTGACCACCAATGGAGTCCTGGTGATGCACCCGGCGGGCGGCTTCTCCGAGGACTCAGCCCCGGGTGTCTGGCGGGAGATCTCGGTCTGTGGGAATGTGTACACATTGCGGGACAGCCGCTCAGCCCAGCAGCGGGGCAAGCTGGTAGGTGGCCCACTCCATGTCCCACCCCCATCCTTGCCAGGCCCTCACAAGCTGCCCATCTCCCTGCCCAAGCCAGGAAATGATCTCTAGTCTTTCTGCCCCAGGGAACCCCAACAGGCTCCACGTTGGGGAATCCCAGACTCAGGGAGTTCTTGGCATGTGCCACTTGTCCCACAGACAGGCAGACAGACCAGGGTCCCCAAGCATAGCGTGCATACCACTGGAGGTCCAGGGGGTCATGCAAAGCAAGGTGCACGCAGACACACTGTGCAGTCCCAGGTGGCTTTGAGGCTGCTGGCAGCTTGAAAAAATCGTACTCTCTTATAAGGGTGACACTTGGCCCATGTGTGAGCAGTTTATAGCCTAAAGTGTTGGCAGTTTGCAGCACGTCTGTCACATTCAGACAGGTTTAGCACTGTTCTTTTCTCCCAGGAGGAAAGTGTCCTTAGAATAGTTCTGACACAGGTGTTAGTGGAAGCTCCTTGTGGTACAGATCAGAGAGTTAAGGTTAGGAGCTGGAGTAAGTCCTAGGGAGAGGCAGGGGCTGCCCAAGGTTACATGGCTGTGCTCCTCAAACGGGCCATGCGCTGCTCTTCCCAGGCATGAGCACATTGGCCAAGGAGATGCAAAACCTCAGAGAAAATCATGGCTTTTCTTTCCAGAGCGTTGACTCTGCTGGGAGGTCTAGGGAAGCATTATTTGTTAAAACAATGCATGTGAATGTTTCACAGGCCTACTCTGCTTGAGCACCCACAATTTGCCACGTATTGTTCTAAGTTTTTACGTTGATTATTTATTTATTTTTATTATTATAATATTTTTATTTGAGATGGAGTCTCACTCTGTGGCCCAGGCTGGAGTACAATGGCACGATCTAGGCTCACTGCTACCTCTGCCTCCCAGGTTCAAGTGATTCTCCTGTCTCAGTCTCCCAAGTAGCTGGGACTACAGGCATGACGCACCACAGCCAGCTAACTTTTTGTATTTTTAGTAGAGATGGGGTTTTACCATGTTCACCAGGCTGGTCTTAAATTCCTGAGCTCAAGTGATCCACCTGCCTCGGCCTCCCAAAGTGCTGGGATTACAGGCATGAGCCACTGCACCCAGCCTGATTGATTCATTTAATCTTCACGAGAACCATTTGAGATGCCAGAAGGTACAATCCACCTTGAGGATGAGGCAACTGAGATAGAGAGAGGTTAAGTTACTCAACCAGGGACACAGTTAGTCAATGATGAGGCCAGAATTCAGCCTAGGCAGCCCAGCTCCTGAGTTTTTGCTTTTAACTGTAACCACTAGGACAGCTGCTTTGGGCTAAGCACCCAGCATTCCTCGTTAGAAGTCTTCCTGCCTCTGCCTCTTCCAGAAGGGGGCACTTTGGAAAACGTCTTGTTTTAGAAAAACTCTATCTAGGTCCAGACTTCCTGATTAGACAGATGGGGAAACCAAGGCCCATGCCCCGCTGGGAGGGGGGGTCAGCATGTGCCTGGGGTGCACCTGCACGCCTGCTTGGCCTCCTAGCCTGCCTTGCCCCTCTGCCCTGCCTGCCCTGCCAGCCCTGCCAGACAAGGTGTCCTCTCCAGGGAGGCTCCGTGGGATGGACCTGCGGGTTCAGTAGGGGCCTCTTGGGCAGTAAGGCCCTTCTACTGCCTCTGGCAGGTGGAAAACGAGTCCAACGTGCTACAGGACGGCTCTCTCATCGACCTATGTGGGGCCACACTGCTGTGGCGCACACCAGCAGGGCTGCTGCGGGCTCCCACACTGAAGCAACTGGAGGCCCAGCGGCAGGAGGCAAATGCAGCGCGGCCCCAGTGCCCCGTGGGCCTCAGCACTCTGGCCTTCCCTAGCCCAGCCCGTGGCCGCACAGCACCCGACAAACAGCAGCCCTGGGTCTACGTCCGCTGTGGGCACGTCCATGGCTACCACGGCTGGGGCTGCCGGCGGGAGCGGGGCCCCCAGGAACGTGAATGTCCTCTCTGCCGCCTTGTAGGGCCCTATGTGCCCCTGTGGCTTGGCCAGGAAGCCGGCCTCTGCCTGGACCCTGGGCCGCCCAGCCATGCCTTTGCACCCTGCGGCCACGTCTGCTCTGAGAAGACTGCCCGCTACTGGGCCCAGACACCACTGCCCCACGGCACCCACGCTTTCCATGCCGCCTGCCCCTTCTGCGGGGCCTGGCTTACCGGCGAGCATGGCTGCGTCCGTCTCATTTTCCAGGGCCCACTGGATTAGGCTCCCTGGAGCCCCCTGCTGCTGTGCCCACCTGCCTGCCCAGGTCCCCACCTCCTGCAGCCCAGTGGGAGCTCTGCATGTGGGACACTCCCTGCTGGCACATAGCCACACCAGATGGACATGTTGGATGGGCTGCGCCCTTCCCCCCAACTGTGGCCCCCCACAAGGAGATCCCCAAGATCTCCACCCCAGTCATGCCGATGGGGCCTTCAGCACCGGCTCTGTCCTGGGTTGATGGAGGAAAGCCCAGCCCCATGCCCTTGCCCTTCCTGGGGCATCCCACATTGTGCCGCCGACACTGTGTGCCCCTGGGGGAGTGAAGGGGTCAGGAGCCCCTGACCCCCAGATTAGGCTGGCTGTGCCCTGAGCCTGCCAACCCAGTTTCAGACACTTACCCTTCTTGCTACCACCCTGGGTTCCTCTATAAACCTCGATGCTCAGCTGCCCTCACAAGTCCCACATGCCCCGCATGCATGCAATGCCTCCAGCCCCAGAGTGAGTGGTGGGTAGGTGGCAGGCTGGGCCAAGCATTTGCTGATAGCCAGTGGGCTGGACTCTGTGCTAAGTGGTCTCTGGGGATCCAGAGGCAATCAGACCTGGTTCCCCACCTGGCAGAGTTCACAGTCTAGAGGATGACAGACCGTTACCAAATGGCAACACAGCTTCATGTGTGCCAGGATCAGAGTATGATTGGGCTGTGGCAGGCCTCACTGGTCATGGAAAAGTGAGGGAGGCTTCACGGAGGAGGTGGCATAGGAGCTCAGCCTCGATGGCTGCTCGGAACCCTCTGGGTCCACAGGATGGGAAGCGCGCTCTATACAGAAGGGAGGGCCTGTGCACAGGCTCAGGTGTCAGTAAGCCAGGAATCCAGGGACAGATTCAGGGTGGCTAGAGCATGGACTGCAGGGGGACAGGGAAGGAGGTGGAGCAAAAGGTTGAGACCATGTGACCAGGGAAGATTGTGACCAAGGAAGATGCTGGATGGAGGATTCTGAACCTCATTTGTGGATGGTCAGGAGTTAACAAAGGGAGGAGAGAGGAATCACTGGTCAAGAGTGTCGGCTGTGACACAAGGGCCATCATCCCTGAATGTCCACCACGTGCCCCGCACTGTGCTGATGATAATAATAACTATGTCCATTGAGCACTCTCCAGACACCAGGCTCTGCTTCTTGGAGGTTTTGTTATTTAATCTTCATAGTAACCCAAGAAGGGAGGTGTTGCCATTTGTGTTTCTGAGAAGATGAGGGCAGATTCACCAAGTCACACAACTAGAAAGTGACCAAACCAGGATTTGAATCCTCAGCTGCTCTTCTCCATCACAGTGTTGCTTTCCTTCAACAGAGGTGGGGGTGAACCAAGCAGGGTTTTGGATACTGGATTGGTGGGCACGCACCTGCTTCATTCCCAGCCCTTCACAGGGCCCCTACAGTGGGCAAGGCCCTGCCTCTGGCAGCCCATGGTCTGCAGAAGGACCTACCTGTGCTTGTACTGGAAGCTAACCCCCACACCTGTACTGACCACCTGCACCCCAGGCCAGGATGCAGTGGGCCATCAGCCAGGCTGGAAGTATTTGGAGGAGTGAGAACCAGGAGCTCTAGAAGGCCCAGGAAGGACCTGGAGACTGAGCCAAGTCTTGAATGGCAGAGCATCTCCAAAGGCAGGGAGAGTTGGGAGGGCAGGCCAGGTGAGGGGGACCCCGAAAGAGAATGGGGAGTGGGGAAGGTTGCTGGGGCCTGGTGGGCCTTGATTGCTGTGGAAGCCAAGCCTAAACTAGATTCCTATTCATCCTGGCCACAGGTGGGGATGTTGCTGGGGTTTCTCCCAGACCATTCCTCGGGGTAGTGAGCCAGGAAGACAGATGGCTGTTCTGGAGATGAAGAGAAGAAGGTCTGAGTACAGGCCTGACCTGATCTGGGTCCCCAGGAGAAGGCAGATGGCAGAGCCTAGGGGAGTGCAGATTCCAAGGGGCAGGACGGACCTGCCCAAGGGCGCACAGTTGGTTGGGGCCAGGGAGACCAGGCCTGGGCTATTGCGAGGATCCAGGGCACCACATGTGATGAGAGGAGGAGGGTATGATCAGATTCTTGCTTCCAGAGCATAGCACTGCTGCAGTGGGGGCAAGGAGGGTGGGGATGCTGCAGGAGGTGTTGGAGCGTTCCAATTTCTCTCCCCCCACATATACACAACAAAGCACTAAAAATCCAACTCTTCCAAGTACTCGGGTATTGGTGGAGGGGATCAGACAGCCCTGGTCTTATCCCAGCTCTGCCTTTGCCAGTTCTGAGAGCCTGTTTCCTTAACGTTAAAGGGAATAACAGTCACTACCTTGCCAGGTGGTTGAGAATATATGGAGGGCACCTGTAACAGTTGATTCATAAGTGTTACTCCTCACCTACCCCTTGTTCATTCCCATGGGGAAGAGTCAAGGCTGGGGAGTTATGACTCCAGTGATAGACTGCTCCATGTGAGTGTGTGTGTGTGTGTCTGTGTGTTGGAGTCAGGTGAAGGTGACAGTGTGGTGCAAAATCTGAATCAGGCCAGGTCCCAGTTCAGGGACACCTGAACTGTGTGGTGTTAGAGCAGTCGGTGAACCTCTTAGCCTCAGGTTCCCCATCTGTACAATGGGTAAAGTGATGATACCTCAGGAATCTTGCAAGAATTAAATAAGGTCCTCCATGCCAAACTGGTAGCAAGGGACCTCAGTACATGCTCATATTATCTGTAATTATAAAAATGTGATCACACAGCTTGTTGAGGATCTTGAGAGCACTGAAATCTTTTGCTTGCTTGAGCTGCCCCTGCTGGCAATGGACAGCACTACCGCCTTTACCTGTGCATATTTCAACTTCACCTGTCAGTCAACTTTACACCCTTTTTACTTTTTTTTTTTTTTTTTTTTTTTTTTTTAAAGACAGGGTTTCACCATGTTGGTCAGGCGGGTCTTGAACTCCCGACCTCAGGTGATCCGCCCGCCTTGGCCTCCAAAGTGCTTGGATACAGGTGTGAGCCACCATGCCCAGCCCTTTACACTCATTTTAAAGACAATTAAAACGGAGGCACAGGAAAGAAGAGGGGTGACTTTCCTGAGGACGCTGACCAACTTGTTGAACTCCCCCATATAAAAAGTCATCATCAAAGCTAAAAGCTTGTAACACTCTTGTGCCAAGCAGGGCTTTGCGCGCCTTTGTGGATGAAACTGGTGTCTGGTAGGCGGACGCTGCCTGGCTTAGACACAGGCGCAGCAAGGAGACTGTGGGGTTTCAGTTCCTAAAAGCCCCTCACCCCGCACAACTATAGGGAGCAGCACTGTAGTCAACACATCACACCCTATAATATCCCTTGGATTGGATTCAATTATCAGCCTGGTTTTCCGGCTCAAAGAGCCAAAACTTCCAGACAACCTCGGTCCACCCCGGGTCTGACCCTGCGCCCTCACTTAGACTACTCCCCATTCGGCCTAGGTCCTTCCACATGCCCCATTTAGACCGAGGTGTGAGCCTGTCCAGCCCTGTAAAAAGTGGACTGCAAGCCCGCCTTTGCCCTGGACTCCCTTTTGGGGCCGCAGAAGGCTTTCTCAGCCTTCTGGCTTCTGTCAAGCACCAGGAAACTGTCAGCCCGTTTGTGCTGAGGAAACTGAGGCTCGGGAATGTTTAGCGGCTGCTTCCAGGCCCGTGGCGGGTGGGTGGTGGTGCAGTGAAGCACTCGTGGCGTTTCTCCGCACCCCTACACGGGTGGGACCACCTCAGCCCTGGCCCGAGTCGGCTCAACAGTAGCCCCGATTCCCGGCACCGACAGCTTTGCAGCCTCCAAGTCTCCAACCCCAGGCCCCGAGTCCCGTGAGGAAGGTGGAGCCACATTACTCCTATTGTGTGGGTTCCCACCTGCAAAAGTGAGGTCCGGGCCCCTGGGGTGAAACCCCAAAAGAAAGCGGGATCGGGGCTGGGAAAGGGGGGGTTCTCAAGTCACTGATACCCTTGCCAGCTCGGCCTGGGCTTGGTGACCTTGTCAGTCCGGTCTGTCGGGACTAGGCCGCGGCCAGGCGGGGCACAGAGCTCCCGGGTCCGGCGCGTGTGCGGCCTGCGGACAAAAGGCCGAGTCCGCGGGGCCAATCCGCTGGGCGGGAGCTGGCGGGCCGAGAGGGTCGTCTCGGCGCATCTATTGGCTGGAACTGACGCCCATCTGATCCCCGGGGCCAGGCAGTTGGCCAAGAGGGGCGGGGTTCGCAGAGCCCCAATGAATGGGGGAGCCGGAAGCAGGAAGTGAGTTTGCGAACGGAGCAGCGGCTGCAGGTGAGGCGCGGCGCCCTGGTTTTGGGGGTCACAGTGTGTCATCCCGGGGGACCAGGACTAATCTGTACTGAGCGCAAAATCACTCCCTTTCTGCCCACTCTCCAGTACCGCCTCCAAATTCATCCGGCCTTCGAGGCCAAGGAGCGCTCCGGGCAGCAAAGAGTTAACAGCCCTCTGGGAACCTGGAGGTTGTGCTTTTAGGGCGGAGCCTCTGGAGTCCCGGGCCGGGCCGGGAGACGCGAAACTCTGCCTCAGCCGGGACTGGGCGTGGCGGGGAGAATGCCGCGCGGGTTGGGGTATCTCCGGGTCCCAACGGGGCTATCAGACCTTCGGTAAATTGTTGGCCCTTCCTAGCCTCAGTTTCTCTATCTGTAAAATGGGCTTTCTTCTGGTTGTGAACTTTCGTGGCTTCCCTGGCGGAGCACAAGGAGAGAGCCAGAGAATGGAGGGCCGAGGAAAAGCAGTTAGAGGGATGAGGATGGGACACGTTCAAGGAAAGTCATTTATTGCTGTGGATAATTTCCGTCCAGGAAGACCTCATCTGATTAGTGCACCCACCTGGTAAGACTGAGGTTATTCCCTCTTTCACAGAGGAGGAAACGGAGGTACAGAAAAGTGAAGCAATGGACTTGACTTTAAGGAGTGTGGGGCTGAGTCCTTGCTAAAGGCTGAGGCTTCCATCTGGTGGCCTGGCGCTCTATCCTTACGAGCACAGTGGAAAGTGTCAAGAATTCTGAACAAGGACCAGGCGCTGTGGCTCACTTCTGTAATCCCAGTACTTTGGAAGTTCGAGGCAGGCGGATCACTTGAGGTCAGGAGTTCAAGAGCAGCCTGGGCAAAATAGTGAGAGCCCCGTCTCTACCAAAAATACAAAAATTAGCAGGGCGTGGTGGCGTGCACCTGTAGTCCCAGCTACTCAGGAGGCTGAGGCAGGAAAATAGCTTGAACTCGGAAGGCAGAGGTTGCAGTTTGAGATCATGCCATTGTGCTCCAGCCTGGGCAACAGAGTGAGACTCCTTCTGAAAAAAGGAATTTTGAACAAGGAAGCAGGGAGGGGCCTGGGCTGGGAGCCTAGAGATGAGGGTCTCTGCTGCTGATGTCTCTATTGTGAGATTAAGCAAGGCTCTTAGCCTCTCTGAACCTCAGTTTCCCCATATGTAACACTAGGTAGAGTCTTTTTTTTTTTTTTTTTTTTTTTTTTTCAAAATGGAGTCTTGTTGCCTAGGCTGGAGTTCAATGGTGTGATTTGCCTCACTGCAGCCTCCGCCTCCTGGGTTCAAGCAATTCTCCTGCCTCAGCCTTCCCAGTAACTGGGATTACAGGCGCCCATCACCACGCCCGGCTAAATTTTTTATTTTTAGTAGAGAAGGGGTTTCACCCTGTTGGCCAGACTGGTCTTGAATTCTTGACCTCAGGTGATCCATCCATCACACCCTCCCAAAGTGCTGGGATTACAGGTGTGAGCCACCATTCCCAGCCTTAGAGTCAATCTTTAAGATATAGAGGCTACAGCCGGGCGCGGTGGCTCAAGCCTGTAATCCCAGCACTTTGGGAGGCCGAGGCGGGTGGATCACGAGGTCGAGAGATCGAGACCATCCTGGTCAACATGGTGAAACCCCGTCTCTACTAAAAGTGCAAAAAATTAGCTGGGCATGGTGGCACGTGCCTGTAATCCCAGCTACTCAGGAGGCTGAGGCAGGAGAATTGCCTGAGCCCAGGAGGCGGAGGTTGCGGTGAGCCGAGATCGCGCCATTGCACTCCAGCCTGGGTAACAAGGGCGAAACTCCGTCTCAAAAAAAAAAAAAAAAAAAAAAAAAAAAGATATAGAGGCTACAGACCAAATATGGTCCATCAGTGTATTTTG